GAAATACATTTTCTGGGCTCTTGCACACATCATGAAAAAAGCTCTCTCCAGAGATATGTTCTGACCATCTCTGCCTCTATATTGAAAGAGACAGTAGACACATACCAATAACAATGGTGGGTAGATTCTTATGTTGTCGCGATCCGCAAGCTATTTTATCTCCTTTTTGGAGTATATTTAGCTTGTCAGGATCTGCTGAGAGGTCCGCACGTGGCGATCGCCTCTCACAGAGGAGCAGTGAGCTTCAGCACTGACTTTTTGAGTGAGTAACTTGCTCAGTACTTACTAATATTTCCAATAACAGCAGCCAATCCCCAATTAGAATTTACGAATGCACTGTTTATTGTGGGGCAGGAGGTTAAAAAAGGGTAAGTAAAGCAAGTATCAAATAACAAGAACTTATGTCTTAATACTTATATATGTGTACACCCTGTTTACACACCTTAGTTACTTATTTATGAGGGAAGGAGGAGGAGGGATATGTCCGACGCTGGTCCCGTATAGGGTCGCGGTTTGTGTGCAAGTGTCTTATCAGCCTAGCAGAACACACTGTTGCTAGTTACAAGAAAGCTTACTGAAGGGAAAAAAAAAATCAGTAAAAAGAAAAATTGACTTCATCCTGGCTCAAACCAGGACAGCTGGCCACAAAATCCAAGTCCACTAGCCAAGTAAAGCCCTCCTGGTGCCTTCAGGGAATGTTTCACCATGTTCCTCCATGGATGCTGAGGGACAGCCTTCCATCTTGCTATGTGTTGCAGGGAAACTTCTGCTAGGGCACCTTCTTCCCCTTCTTCCTGACCAACCCCTGGCACTGCCCTCCCCTGCAGTGTGTGCTGCAGGGCACCACAGAGATACTGAGATACTCTTGAACAGGTTTACTGTAACCTTGGGCACTGGATTAGATGGCAGCCTTGCATCAGGATATCCCACGCAAAGAGTCGAGTGGGACACAGCACCCTTTCTATAAACAGGCATCGCTTTGGGCCCGTCTTAGCTTTCCAGGTCTTCTAATGTTCTCTTTTCTAAAGATCATTTACCACCAAGACTACCTTGCAAAGTCCTCTGGCCCACAGTTTAGATCAAGCCCAGTTAGGTGAGCAAAGTCCCTGATTTTTTACCCTCCTCATAGCTCCAGGGTCTGGCATCATTCTGCATGTATGACCGGGAAATAGAGTTATAATGTTTGATGTCCAGAAAAAAAACAGCTTGCTCAGTCTTTGCCTTGCAAATAAACCTTATTTGCTCTGTTTAATATTTACCCGTAGACATTAACTTTATAGACCCAGCAAAATATGAGTACGGAAGACACACTGTGAGAGAGAGGACCAGATCTGTAAGTACAATTTTATACTTTCTTAGGAATCTCTGAATTCCTGTTGTCTGTGATCTCTGCCATTCATTGCACAATAATTAATTCTGAGATTATTTGGTTTTTACAGTAATTAGAAATACTTTTGGCTCCTGAAAACATCATCTAAGGGCTGGGAGCAGGACTGAGCCAGTGACCCAGGTCCTAGCTTTTATAACGCCTGCCCACAGCAAGTTTGATGCGAGACCTAAACCTGGCATTAGACAGGCAGCCCGAGGCAGCCCCTGGGGCAGAAGCCCATGCTCCAGAATGGGCACACAGCTGCTATGAGCAGCATCCAGATGGTCTCTGTTTTCCTGCAGGCCACTGCCTACTCATAGTTTTGAGATTTTGCCATTTGAGACAGTTTAGGTGAGGGGCCCTGCGGAGAACATTCTTCTCCAGTGTATTTCAGGGCTCTTCCCCTGAAAAGGGAAGAAGAAGGACTCTGAGATTATGCAGAATTTGCTTACATCAGTGAAGGGAAGAGGAAGGGTCACTGAATTGCTCATACACAGCAAAGCAGGTTCCACTAGAGCTTTTCCAAAACTCTTGGGTCTTGGACTTTGCAACCTTATGGAGAGTTTGTGCGCAAAAGACAGAGACGATAAACTTTCTGCATTGATCCTGCATTTGCTGAAACGTTTAAGGTAACTTTTGGAAAGAATACAATTCTGTCACACAAGAGGCAGAAAGATATAAACAGTTTCAGGGGTGACAATTCAGATGTTTGCTTTTTCACACCTATAACTGATAGCATCTCTGTATAACTGCAGTGCTTAAAAACCCAAGTCATAACAAGACCACAGGTACTACAGAAACTTACCAGCAAAAGTCAGTCCCTCTGTCAGAGTAGCTGCAAAGTACATGGAGGCCAATAGGCAAACTCGGTCACCCACCCAGAGCCACTCAGGAGTGCCATGAGGCCATGCTGGTCAGAGGCAAGAACTATTTCAGGAAGAACACCTCACAGATGCCTACACAACATCAACTCCTCCCTGGCACTGCCATATCAATATCTTCCTTCCTTGGCTCATTGGTCAGAAACTGAGGTAACTGACTAGAAACAGACTCTTCAGGAGGCCAAGTAGAAGGGTATTTCTAAGTAGAGCAGAAGCCCTGAAGACTGACTGCTGAAAATCAATATTTAAAAAGCTATTTTTAAGCAGGGAAGAAAAAATTCTCTAGACCTAAAAGCTGATGCATTATTTCTTAGCAGAACTGTTCAGAAGAAAAATGAAGTCTGCGCTGTATTTGTGTTTGTTGCTTCTTGGATTACAAGTCCAGGGTCAACTGAAGTCCAACCTCAACGATGAGCAGCAGGAACAAGAAATAGCCCATTTCTCAGAAGACCATTCCCAGGCTGAAGGTGAAAACTCACCTCACGCCAAGATTGCCCCCAGCAATGCCGACTTTGCATTTAGGGTTTACAAGCAGATCAGAGAAGAGACAGGCAACAAGAACATTTTCTTCTCTCCTTTGAGTATCTCCACTGCCTTTACAATGCTCTCCCTGGGGGTCAGATCAAACACTCTCAGTCAGCTGCACAAAGGCCTCGCCTTCAATCTGACAGACATGGAGGAGCAGGAGATCCATGCTGGATTTCAGCGCATCCTCCAGCTGCTCAACGACCCTCACCGAGAAGACCAGTTGAGCATGGGCAACGCCCTGTTCGTAGACGACCGACTGAAACTGCTCAAAAAATTTTTGGATGATGTGAGAAATCTGTATTATTCTGAAGCTACTTCTACTAGCTTCCAGAATCCTCCAGAGGCTATAAAGGAAATCAATGAGTACATAGAAACAAAAACTCATGGGAAAATTGTTGATTTCCTCCAGGATCTTGATCCACAGACCGTGATGGTTCTGGTTAACTACGTTTTCTTTAAAGGTGAGTGACAAAGGTGGTTAGCACTTACACACATTAGCTCTGGAAGTCTTCTCCAGACGGAAGAAACATAACTTCTTTCACATTGTGAACCCATGCTATCATCTAATGTCAAATATGTCTTCCTGCTTTTAAATGACCTAAGGAAATATTTGAAAGCCAGGTATGGAAAATAATTTCCTGTAAGAGAAAAGAAAAAGTGAAAGAAAAAGAAGAACTCACCAGTGGATCATGTATGGTGGGAGTCAGTAGAAGTTTTATCATTGCCAAAGCTCAGCTCATTTCTGGGACATCTCTCAGCCTCAATTTTTCTTAGAGTTTTTTATCAGAACCATCAAAATGACCTGGTGCTTCCTTTCATGGCCAAGGAACAAGCATCCTTTAACTGAGATAAGTTTCTGGTTGTCTTTACAGATAAATTACAGTACACAAAGCATCAACTAATGTCACATGCCTTTACTACTCCCTTTTTCATGCTCTTTCTTTTTGTTTCCTTCTCCTAAAGGTTACTGGGAAAAACCTTTCAGCCCTTTGTCCACCAGGGATGCTGACTTCATGTTGGATGCTAAAAATTCCGTAAAAGTCAAAATGATGCATGAAAAGAAACACTTTAATATCCATAGAGATGAGAAGTTGTCTTGCTGGGTAGTAGAAATCCCATACAAAGGAAATGCTACTTCATTGTTCATTCTGCCTGATGAAGGGACAATGAAGCAAGTGGAGGATGCTCTGCTAAAAGAGACAGTGTCTAGCTGGTTGAAATCACTTGAATACAGGTAATCTTCTAACTTTGTTTCAATATCAAACAGGCCACAGCTACTTGTCCAGGCAAGGGAAAACATAGGATGTCACAACGAGTTGCTACACACAGCTCTGAAGAACAAGCATTGGCCAGTTTCTTTAAATCAGGCAAAGTGTCAGGTGACTCCACACCTAAGGGGAGCACTCTCCTCAGCTCCCCCAGCCACAGCAGTGGGAGTGCTACCACCTGTGAGGATCCTGCATTGCCCTCAGAAGCCTGCCTTGAGTAGGAAGAATCCACTTCAAAAGAAAATGCAACTTCTTTTTCTCCAGCCTGCATGATACTTTCCAGTCAGTCACTTAGGTAAACCAGCAGTCTGTCCCTCTACCACTGATCAGACTCTGGCTGGTGGGACAGGTACCTCAGTTCCTGTTTCTCTAACATGGGTTTTAGAAAGCCAAGGCTCAGTTCCACAGGTGTTTGGGATGGGTCTATACTTGCAACAGTTCTTGCATCAAGGGATCTTGCAATATTAATCTTGGTGGGGTTTTTTGTTTTGTTTTGTGGTTTTTTTTTTCAAAGAGAAATCTACCTGGACCTTCCAAAGTTCTCCATCTCTGGCTACTATGATGTTAAGAGCCTTTTTGAAAAAATGGGTGTGACAGAGGTGTTCAGTGACCAGGCTGATCTCTCTGGAGTGGCAGAAAATTCTAATCTGAAGGTTTCCAAAGTAAGTGTGCAAACAAAGACAGTAATCAAGGGGTTTATCTGCCTCATGTACATGTGGGTTTTATCTCTGTAAATAGGCTGATCCCACCTCTGATGCTTAGTCATAACCCTTTGATGATAATAAAGGAAGCAGAAGTTTAGGCATTAAAAGATCTGTGTTTGCTACAGGGATAGAAGATAGATAGCTATCACAAGCAAGAATCCTTCACACAGATAAGCCAAGGGGTTTCCTGAGTGTTCCAGGAAATATATGCTTTGTGCCACAAGCAAAGTGATCCTTCCCCTCTACCTTCTATTCTGCTCTTGTGAGACCACCTCTGGATTTCTCCAAGTCCAGTTTGGGACTTTCAATACAAGGGACATATTTACATACTGGAGCAGAGCGAGTCCTGTTGGAGGGTTGGCAGGATGGCAGTATGTCTGGAGCACAGGATGTACAGGGAGAAGCTGGGAGATCTGCAGTTGTTCAGTCAAGAGAAGGGAAGGTGACAGGGGTTCTTGGTACTGACTTCAGACACCTATTAAGAGGATGCACAGACGATGAACCTAGACTCTTCTTGCAGTGCACAGTGACAGGACAAGAGACCCCACACATGAGATACTCATCAGGTATTATGTAAAAAAGTTCACACTGAAGGAAATTCAAAACTAGGATGAGTTTCTTAGGCTATGAAATATGAAACATGTTCAGCCAAGAGAAGGGAAGGTGACAGAGGGTTCTTAGTCAAACCCTGTCTAGATGAGACCCTGAGCAACATCACCTCGTGTCTGAGTTGATGCGGTTTAAAGTGGCTGGTTCCACTGGATGACTCATAGAGGTTCTTCCAACCTATATTATTTCATGACTTCGTGATTCCTTACACTGAACCATACCTTGTTACCTATATAAACATCTGGTTTACAGCTGTATGACAAGTGAATAGAGGAGGCATAACAGGAATTAATAAGAGGAAATTTCAGACGGGTTATGGACAATGAAGAAAAAGCATGGAGGGCTGAGCAAGGTCAATGAAATAAGATCCAGTGAATTCAGGAATACCTATTTGCTATGCCTAGCATAGAAAGCCCTACAAAGTCAAGTCGTACCAGTGGGCTGTGCTGCAGAAAGACACCTTACAAAGCTTGTCACTATTGTGTCTTTGCAGACCAGGTTTTGTTTTTTGCTTACACAGAAACTGATCGAAAACAAAACCCTTTTTCTTCTGAGTTAAGTACTAAGCACAAAATCTTACTCTCAGAAACAACAGACCAGTAGACATCCTCTATGCTGCTCAGTCACTGCTAGCAGCCAAGTTTGACTCTGCCACAGTGTTGAAGAAAACTCTGAACTCAGAGCAAACTGCTTGTCTTGGAAAGGCTGGACATGAGTTTCACATGAAAGTTATATATTCTTTGTGTGCTTTCTTTTAAAAACTACCTCTCACAGAGTTAAAGCAAGTAAGATTTTCCACAGCTGCTTCTCACTCTTCTCTACCTATATTTTAATCTTTGCTTCCCTTTCAGGCAATTCACAAGGCCATGGTGGATGTCAGTGAGAATGGCACGGAGGCTGCTGCTGTGACATTTGTTGCAGTGGTACCATATTCTTTTGCGTTTCCTCCTCCTCCTCACATTAAATTCAACAGACCCTTCCTGATGATGATCATTGACAAAAGCACTGATGGCGTCCTTTTCATGGGAAGAATTGTGAACCCAACTGCCAAGGAGGAGTAGGACAGAGAGTTTGCGCTCCCCAGTGCAGGGAAGACAGTTTGTGAGGAAGTCCCAGGGACTTCTTTGCAGAGGCAGAGAAAAAATTTCTCCAATTAATAAAAGCATAAATTTTAAATTAAATTATTCTTCACTTGCAAACAACTGTGTTACAGAGTTTTTTACTGTTTCTTGTGTGCACTTTCCCCAGGGTGCCATCACAGCACATGGAGCAGCCCTGGCCTCTCCTCAGACAGTCTGCTCTGCAGTCCCCTGATGCAAGTGCCTCTGCACAGACACTGATGCAGAAACACAGTCTGAAGATAACACCGAAGTTCATTAAGTCTAATGGTGTTTAATGGTTGGGTAGAACAGTTTTATGGCACTAATGAACCATCCAGAGTCACCTCTAGGATTATTTCACAGTGTCCTCTCAGTCTCAATAAGATAAGAAGACAATGGAAACTGTGGACCCACTTCAGAAGAAAACTGGAAACCTGGTCATGCAGGACACAGAGCAGGCTGAGGTACTCAAGGACTACTTCGCCTCAGTCTTCACCAGCAGAGGCTCTGGTCACACCATTTGATTTTCAGAAGGCAGAGGCATGGACTGGTTGGAGGTGTGTGACTAGTGGAGTCCCTCAGTGGTCGGTACTGGGACCGGTGTTGTTCAACATCTTCATCAACGACTTGGATGAGGGTATAGAATGTACCCTTAGCAAGTTTGCTGATGACACTAAGCTGGGAGGAGTGGCTGACACACCAGAAGGCTGTGCTGCCATTCAGAGAGACTTAGATAGGCTGGAGAGTTGGGCGGGGAGAAACATGCTGAAATTCAACAAAGGGAAGTGTAGAGTTTTGCATTTGGGGAAGAACAACACGATGTCTCAGTACAGGTTGGGGGCTGAACTGCTGGAGAGTAGTGTAGGTGAAAGAGACCTGGGGGTCCTGGTAGACAGGAGGATGACCATGAGCCAGCAATGTGCCCTTGTGGCCAAGAAGGCCATCGCATCCTGGGATGCATTAGAAAGGGTGTGGTTAGTCGTTCGAGAGAGGTTCTCCTCCCCCTCTATTCTGCATTGGTGAGGCCGCATCTGGAGTATTGTGTCCAGTTCTGGGCCCCTCAGTTCAAAAAGGACAGGGAACTGCTCGAAAGAGTCCAGCGCAGAGCTACGAAGATGATTAAGGGAGTGGAACATCTCCCTTATGAGGAAAGGCTGAGGGAGCTGGGTCTCTTCAGCTTGGAGAAAAGGAGACTGAGGGGTGACCTCATCCATGTTTACAAATATGTAAGGGGTGAGATGTTAAGAACAAGAAAAGCTTCTACAGGTATGTCAGCAATAAGAAGAAGACAATGGAAACTGTGGGCCCACTTCAGAAGAAAACTGGAAACCTGGTCATGGAGGACATAGAGCAGGCTGAGGTACTCAAGGACTACTTTGCCTCAGTTTTCACCAGCAGAGGGTCTGGTCACACCATTTGAGTTTCAGAAGGCAGAGGCATGGACTGGGAAAAGGAAGATCCACCAACTGTAGGGGAAGAGCAGGTTTGAGAACACCTGAATGACCTGAAGCTGCACAAGTCCATGGGACCTGATGGGATTCATCCACAGCTCCTAAAGGAACTGGCTGATGAAGTTACAAAGCCTCTGTCCATCATATTTGAAAAGCCTCAGCAGTCTGAAGAAATTCCTATGGACTGGAAAAGGGGAAAAATAACTCCCATTTTCAAAAAGGAATAAAAGGAAGACCCAGGGAACTACAGACCCCTCAGTCTCACCTCTGTGTCTGGCAAGATCACGGAGCAGAACCTCCTGAAGGCTCTGCTAAGGCATGTGGGAAACAAACGGGTGATTGGTGACAGCCAACATGGCTTCACCAAAGGCAAATCCTGCCTGGCCGATTTGGTGGCCTTCTGCAATGGGGTCACAGCACTGGTGGACAAAGGAAGAACAACAGATGTCATCTACCTGGACCTGTGCAAAGCTTTTGACACTGTCCTGCACCACATCTTGGCATTGAAACTGGAAAGATATGGATTCAAAGGATGGACCACTTGTTGGGTAAGGAATTGGCTGGATGTTCACATCCAAAAAATTGTGATCAACTGTCCAGAGAGAGACCAGTACTGAGTGCTGTCCCCCAAGCCTCGGTTCTTGGACCAGCACTGTTTAAAACCTTTGTCAGTGACATGGACAGAGGCAATGAGTGCACCCTCAGCAAGACTGAAGATGACACTAAACTGTGTGGTGAGGTCAACACGCTGGAAGGGAGGGATGCCGTCCAGAGTTACTTCAACAGGCTTGAGAAGTGGGGTCCTGCAAACTGCATGAAGTTCAACAAGGCCAAATGCAAGGTCCTGCACGTTGGTCAAGGCAACCCAAAGCACAAATGCAGGTTGGGTGGAGAATGGGTGAAAAATAGTCCAGATGAGAACTTGGATATGTTGTGCTGACATGTGCGTTTGCAGCCCAGAAAGTCAACCGTGTCCTAGACAATCCCGTACCTGCAACGTCCCAAACTCCAGGCTGGTCAGGATGGCCCCTGCAAAAGGAGAGCCCTGCCTGACTCATGGAAATCCGAATCTGCCCTTCCCTGGATTGACAGACATGAAACGGTGCTACCGGCAATTGCTTCATATATATAATCTTGTATTTCATCAACATATAGAAGTTCTGAAGGGACAGGACAGGAATACCTGCATGGAGTAATTAAAAAATCATTGAGGAAAACCCTGAGGAAAGCTCTGCACTCAAGGCCAATGTTTTGCAGCTCTCCTTCCAGCATCTGAGCAGAGGCAGGCGGAGATGGAGGCTCTGAAATGCACAGCTCCTTGCTCCTCAAATCTAACAGTGGTGTTAAATAAAGCAGACCATGACTACAGTAATATCAGTCAAACTACTGCTGGATACAAGAGGTTCAACCAGATCCCCTATGATCAGTTCATTCTCACAGATAGCACCAGATGAAAGGGAAATGCATATTTTTTGATTGCTGGATTGATGGATTCAGAAGTTGTTTCTGGTATGGTAGCCAGATATGAAATCTATTAAGAATTGAATCAAGAAAGCTTGAATTGGCTTTACATTTTCTTTAGCTCTGACTGCACGCCACATTCCTTTCTTAAGTACTAAAGACAACATCTTACTCTCAGAAACAACAGACCAGTAGACATCCTCTATGCTGCTCAGTCACTGCTAGCAGCCAAGTTTGACTCTGCCACAGTGTTGAAGAAAACTCTGAACTCAGAGCAAACTGCTTGTCTTGGAAAGGCTGGACATGAGTTTCACATGAAAGTTATATATTCTTTGTGTGCTTTCTTTTAAAAACTACCTCTCACAGAGTTAAAGCAAGTAAGATTTTCCACAGCTGCTTCTCACTCTTCTCTACCTATATTTTAATCTTTGCTTCCCTTTCAGGCAATTCACAAGGCCATGGTGGATGTCAGTGAGAATGGCACGGAGGCTGCTGCTGTGACCTTGATAGAAATTATAGCAGAGTCTGCAGAGTTTCCTCCTCCTCCTCATATTAAATTCAACAGACCCTTCCTGATGATGATCATTGACAAAAGCACTGATGGCGTCCTTTTCATGGGAAGAATTGTGAACCCAACTGCCAAGGAGGAGTAGGACAGAGAGTTTGCACTCCCCGGTGCAGGGAAGACAGTTTGTGAGGAAGTTCCAGGGACTTCTTTGCAAAAAGGGAGTAGAACTGATCACTAATAAAACAATAAATAAATGTTACATGAAATTGTTTTTCCTTTGCAAACACAGTGGCAGACAAGCATGAGTGGGCCATATTGACAAAACAGGACAGGCCAAACAGACAGCCATGGGATCTTCAACAGAAAAAATTCCCTACCTCACTCACTCATCACACCTCCCATCATCCCTTGCATGCAGATAACATCTTCCTGCTCCTGGCTGAGACACTCCCTATGTCTCCCATTTCCTGCGTATCAAGTCCTCAGCTCAGAAACCACAAACCTATCCCCTTCAGCTGTAAAATAATCCTGTCCCTCCCTCCCATTCTACTGTGAATCCCAGCAGAAGTCTTCATCTGTGAAGTCCTTCCAGCACTTGGTGGCTAAGAAGGGAAGTAGGAACACAGACCTGTTAAACCTTTCCTCTCCTAGATGGTGGATGCTCCTGGCTAAAGAGTAATCCTAACCTTCAAGAGATTTCTCTCCATTAATCTGGTGTCTGGGGAGGAGCAGAGTGACTTGAACATCTTCCTGAGCACTGAGCACTCATCTGTGTCCTGTGGTGGGTCTACTGGGGCCATTTGGAACTGGCTGGAATCAGCTGTGTCCGGCATGGAGCAGCCCTGGCCTCTCTTCACAGAGTCTGCTCTGCAGCCCCCAGCTGCCAGTGCCTCTGCACAGACACTGATACAGAAACACGCTCTGAAGAGAACACCAAGTTCACAAAAGGTAACGGTGTTTAATGGCTGGGTTGAACAACTGATGGCACAAATGAACGGTCAGGAGTAGCCATTAGGATCCCTTCACAGTGTCATCTCAGCCTCAAAAACTGGGAAGCTTCCATGGACTTCACCAAAGCAGCCTGAGACAAGTGACAGCACCTCCTCCCCACGTCTCCAGCCTTCCTCCTGAGGAGGGCAAGAATAAAACCTTCATTCGAGAGGGCCTGGGGCTCCCCTGCTACTGCTGGAGGGCTTTGGTGTTGGGCTAATCTGGGTCAGAAATCACACAGACCTGAAGATTTGCTTCATGCAAAGTATTTGCTCTGTAAACATCCCATTGTCTCCAGATCTTAAAGAAATAAAACCAGCTGTGTTTTAAAAATGCTCTATGGAAAAACTTTGTCATCTATTCCTATTTAACTCACTTTCTCTCTCAGGAAGGTAAAATCAGTTGTTTCAGCAGTGCTTGAAGGGAAAACCTCTGTTGCTGGAGCCATGCCAAGGATTTCAGCTACGCCCTGGGCTGCCAAACTGCAAGTCTCTTTATCCACAGCTACTAACACAGCTTGCACAGTCATTTCTCCCCTGCTTTGGGAGTGGTGAGGTTTAGGTGAGTAGTTAACTGTGCACTAATTGGGACATGTTAGAGGGAAAGTAAGAATGAAAGTAAATAGAAAACTGTTCATAGTACTTCCTTTCTTCCCTCCCCTTCTACCCTCTTCTGGAAAATGAAACCCAGGAACAAGCCCAGGCTTTTTGTTTATTTGTAATTATTAGATAACTGAAACAGAAACCTCCACAAAAATTCATTGTGATCTTCTTATCAGAGCTGTGAGATTTTCTTATGAAAAATAGTAAAAGTCTACTTGATAGCCTATAAGTTAAAAGCAGTTATTGGAGAGTGGAAAAACTATTTAAGATGAGAGGATAGTTCCCAGTAATGGTTTTGTAACTTTCTCACCACTGCAAAGAATAATCACACAAAAAAGTTTTAAAAGTCAGGCCAGTGACTTCTCAAATAAGCAATTAAGTTTTAAGACTTTGTTGAAGATTTAGATGGGTTTTGGAATGGGACTTGAAGAGCTGACAGAGAGCAGGACTGTTGAGCTGATTTGCTCAGGAATTTTAGCTCCATGGTAGAACTAGGGAAAGTACAGCAAGAAGATGGTGATTTAACAGAAAAAGTGAAAACTACAAATTTTCAAAAGGCCTGCCAAAAAATCAAAGACAACACAGTGGCCCAGCTGCAGATACCCTGAATCAGCTTGGACTGAAATTGAAAATCTGCCAAGAGGAAAGCATACCATCCTGGCACATGATAACACCAGCAAACTGCAGAGACTTCACATTTTCTGAAGGAACATGAAAAGTAGAGGAGTGACAGATTAAAATCTTGCTGAAAGGGACAAGGAGCCCTTGGCCATGCTTCAGCATCCTGGTACTCCTCACGCTTAAGAGTTACTGACCAAAGGGAGAGAAAACATGGAGCTAGCAAATGGAACAGGCTACTGGTGTGCAGTGCCCCTGTGTTACCAGGGAATGACTAGCTTCACCTCTTCCTCCAGTAGCACAGTACCTGCAAGTAATCAACTAAAAAACAGGGATATGCATTTTGATCCTTAATGACTTCCCTTGTTAATCACAACAGTAGCATCTTCTCCTACCATACAAGAGTTTTGGTGCTTGCAGGACCTGTAAGCACAATGAGGGGTAAAACTAGCCTGATTTAACTTTACAATGTTTTACCTCCATCTTGTGTAGATTTCAACTGGCAGGTCTCCTGTGCCTCCTTTAATAACCTGTCTCTACTACTTTTGGTGTCCAGGAACACAGGTGTCTGAGAACACAGGCATTAGTGAAGTGCTCAGAGACAGCAATGGTGCTGCTGGAGTGACAGGGAGCCTGACCTGCCACTGCTCACTGTCAGACATAATAAGTGGGGATGGAGATTTGCTGAGAGTGTTTCCAAACTGTCTGACCTGATATCAGGTAAAATTAAAGTTTATAAGCAGCAATATGGAGTGTTGTAGGTGGCAAAGTGGCATATCTGAAATGTAGCATATTGCACTTCAAAATTATTGTGAACTCCTGGTGTCTCTGAAATGCACTTATTGAAATAATAACCATAAATAGCCACCAAATCCAAAAGGGTCAGAAACATCCCCCTACCCCCATGATTTGCCCTTAGCCAATATGCAATTGTATATTAAAAATGTACTGCGACAGCTTGATGCATTGGAGACTTTTTCTGCTCTAAATCTTTTTAAGTCTCTGTTTCTGTAGGGTTACAGTACCTCTCAGTTACTAAGGCTTCACCTTTACAACTGACTTGCAAGGAAGGGAATGCATCTGAGGATCTCAGGTTCATGCAGGATAAAGGAATTCCCTAAGAGTGTGGAGAGGGCCAGTGCATTCAGGTTCCTTGCTTGGAGAACCAAGCACTGGGAGCCCACTTGGTATAAGTTATTTCTAGCAACACATGGAGCTCCTTTCATGGTTGAATTTTCAAGCAAAGAATTTCTTATGAGCTCTTGGGAATAATGCTGCTTTAGCCAATAGCTATTATATGCACAGTCAAATGGAGTTTCATGCCATTTATATTTCTTTAAAGATGCTGCAGCAGTGCTGGGATAGCCTGTAAGAAAGGGGTATCATCAGGTCTTTAGTTCTTTAAAACTGTAACTATCGCTAGCTCTGTTAATAGTTTCCATAAAACTTTTTAGTCTTCATTTATAAATCTGTGAGTCTTTAGGCAAGTACATCACATTCACATCACAATTTTGCATGCCTACAGTCTGTGTGGAAGTTAATGAGAGCTGTAGATCCATTTCAACTGTCTGTTCCACAGGGGGATTGATTTTAGCATTGAAATATGACACTGAAAAAGAAAGCAGAAATCCACAACTTCTGTCTCATTTAGGAATACAGCCATTCTTTCCAAACCTCTGCTGGGTCAATGCACAAATAACACTTTTGCACTGCTCTTTGTTCAACTCTCATTCCAGAAAGAATGGACATGCACCTTAAGACATCAAAAAATCAATAACTGAAGTGTGGTGACTGTCTGGAAAATGGTCATGCTGATCCTAGTGAAGCAGTTCACACAGAAGAAACAGGTGACCCCCCAAACTAACAAATTGCATTATACCAAGCTTGAGATGCTGGCTTCCTAAATGTCCCTGCTCCCCCATCTACAGCCCTGCTGAGGCCACATGTGCACATGGATGGAAAAGGGAGCAAGCACTATCAGGATCTGTTTTGAATAACTTAATTTCCCATCTTGCAGGCTGCTTCGGGTAAGGATTTTTGGTAGTTCTTAAGGGCACTAGGTGGGGGGTAAGTTGACTGAAAGTCATCTCATAACTTTTAAATTAGTTAGATGACATAAAAAATTATAAACTGAAGAAAAGGTCTCTTAAATAAAACCTTCGAACACCTGTCACTTTCCCATCTAAGTCCCCATCTCTTGCACTCCCTGTGCTATTACAGAAGGAAAGTGAATTAAATATAAGCTAAACATGAGCCAGCTCTCTAGTTCAGCCATAAAAACACTCGTTGTAAGGGTTCAGAAGAAGAATTTTCAGTTGCATCAAGGAAATGGAGGGTTTATTCAATCCAACATGTTTCTAAAAATCAAATGGTTTGAAACAATATAGAAAATTAGTTTTTCTAAAACTGCACATTTAAATAAAATAATTCTCCATCTATTTCATGTTTGCCTTTCACCAGGCATATTACTAGCTAATAAAACTTTCAGAGCACCTGTAATTATGAGCACCTGTTCATGAATCTGGCCATCTGGTTACAAGGTAGATACATCATTGCAGAAATGAGATTTCTGTGCCCTCCTCCTCCCCCTCCCTCACCCCCCCC